GTGGAGGATAGGCGCCACGACATTGTGCCGCTGTGTGTGTTGCGCGGCCGGGGCATGCCGGCGATTGTGGAGGACCCGGAGCTGTTTGACTGAGAGGAGGTGGCGTACGTTGCGGCGCAGCGGGGGCGCATGACGGACTGCCTGTGGTGGAGGGGCGCGTGTTGAAGCGAGCGTGGCGCGCCTGTGAGGGCCTGAGGAGAGGGAATAACAGTAATGGTGACTTTGGGAGCGTGAGGAACGGGGCAAGAGCGGGGAGCGCTCCTCTTTTGTTTTGATTGTTGTTGAGCGGCGTCCATCTAATTGTTGTTGTTGTGGTGCGTGACTCTCGTCGCTGGATAGGACGGTGCGTGGTTGTGTGACTTGTCTATTCTTTTTTTTTCTTTCACTCTGCGTTGACGGGGAGTTGGTTTGTGCTGAAGGCTACACGCAAGTGACAGGAGTGATGATGGCGATGATGATGACTGGCCGTGTGCTGCTGGTGTGTGCCCTCTGCGTGCTGTGGTGCGGTGTTAGTGTGCCGGCGGCCGATGTTGCTGGCGGAGGTGATGGCGGTGCGGATGAGTATTTTGTTTTGCGGTGGCACGCTCAGCTGCGGAGGGAGTGCGCGGAGGCGTTCGGCAGGAGGACAGGAGGCCGTGCGCATGCGTCCGCCGTGGAGGAATGCGTGCGTTTGGGGATGGCCGTCGTCGTTGGTGGCGTCAACACTCCGCTGTGGTCGCTGCTGCTGCTGATGGTGAGGTTGATGACAAAAGTGGCGAAGGCAGCGGTGACACATCGAAGGGATTATCTTCTTCAGACCAGATGTCACAAGCGGGACAAAATCCAGAAGAAAGACGGGAACATGCAGGTTCACTGGAAGTGACGAATACGTTGGAAGGAAGCGAGGATTCACAAATAACAGGCGAACAGAATGTCAGTTCAGATGTCGATCGTCCCAAACAAACTGGGAGTCAAGAGCCAACAGTCGGCCAACCGGAGGATGAGGAAGGCACGAGAAATCTCCAACTGCCACCACCACCACCACCTCCAGCAGAACCACTACTACCAACACCACGACAACCACCACCAGGAACAAACACATTACAGTCAGAAAAAACAAATCCACAAATTAGAGCGGAAAAACATTCAAAGCCACAAGACGGAGGTCACTCACACAAAACGAGGATGCTACAAACGAAAGGTTCAACAAAGCACGAGGAAGGAGCATCCTCCTTGCAGTCACCGGAGAGCGTATCGCATTTGAGTCGAGAGAAAACAACACCATTATCTACCTCCACGGATAGCAGTGGCGTTGCCGGAAGCACGGTGGAGAACAGTGGTGCTAACAATCCCACACCTCCTGCCGCCTCAGTGACACAACATGATTCCAAGGGAGATATTGGCTCCGCTGCTCTGCCAGCCAGCAACACCGAATTGCAATCAGAGGAAATACCCAACGCAGGTATAATTGCCACGACGTATGACGACGGCGACGACAGCAGCCCTGCAGCTCCTACTGCTGAAAGGACTACCGCTGGCACAAGAAGCACTCAAACCTCTGGTGATGCGAGTGACGTTGAACGGGCTAATAACGACGACGTCAATGATGACGTGGCACACAACGATAAGACCGCAGAATTTGAAGCCGCCTCAGGAGGCAAGGACACTGAGGCAGATAAGGATGAGAGGTACACAACAGTACCGGAGAACGCCGTCAATAAAACAATCAATACAGAGATCACAGCCGACATTGACGGCAGCACCGCTGTCCCCCACACCACCTCCCCTCTTTTGCTTCTTCTTGTTGTTGCGTGTGCGGCTGCGCTGGTGGCCGCGTGAGAGTGAGGGAGAGAGAGCCATGCACCGCCCGCACACACACTCGTCTCTCACTCACTCTCTGTGTGTGTCCTTGCATGGACTCTCGCCCTCACCTCATCCCACGAAGCACACACATAATGTGCCCATTGTATATTGCATGCACACCCATGCAGGCCCGTTGGTGCTCTCTTTTGCACGACACGCACCGCTGCCGTCCTGCCTGGCTGCATGGGCGGAGCACCGTAACTGTTTTTGTTTTGTTTCCATTGCATTGAGTGGGCGACCTCTCACTCTCTCTCCCTGTGTGTGTGTGTTTTGCTTTACGGGAGCAATGAGAGAGTGTGCGCTGGTCGTCCCACGCTTCGGCCTTTTGTTTTGTTTTTCATTGTTTTGTGGTTGAGAGCACCCATTCCGCGGGCTGCGTGTGTGCGTGTGTGCTATCCACCTCTCTCTATCTTTGCTTTCTTTGGACACTCTTGTGCTGCACAGCTGCTCTGCAAGTATACACGCTGCCAAACACACAAGCACATGCACACGCTATGTTGCGCACGCTGTGGGGCGGCGTGAACGCAGAGGACGCACGCACGTACACGATTGTTGCTGCGGCTGCCCTTGCGAGGAGGGATGATCGCGAATTGTTTTGTTGCCGTGCTGCGAGCGTGATTTCCTTGGCTTTCTGCCCATGGGCGGCGTGGCGTTTTGGTGTCTGGGATTATTGCGGATAGGCTTCAGCCCAGCAGCTGCACCGTCCGACGTGTTCCTCCCGCTGTTCGTACGCCGACGGAGGATTCTCCGGCTGTGCGGGGCGATGTGCGGGTGCGTTGGAAGAGACAAGAGTAAAACGACTGGCGGCAGCGCGTGTGTGCCGTGAAGGGCGGCTGTGGTTTTTTTGTCCTGCTGGTTTTTCTTTTTGTGAGGGCGTTGTTCAGTGTGTGCTGACGCGTGACGAATAACGACGTGCCGGGCGTGGCTCCTGCTGCTGCTGGTGATGATGGTTTTTGATGTTCCCGCTGCACTGTTCTTCCTTCTCGTTTCATGTGTCTGCGTGCGTGAGTTGTTGTTGAGAGTGACTGCGGCAGGGATGACGATGATGATGCCACTCACTGTGGATGGGTGACGGTGTTCACTGTTTCACTCCTTTTTCTTAACTTCTCTCTCTTTTACTCACACACAAAGGAAAGAAGTTAATAACAAGCGCTAACCGCTACTGTGGAATTGTAAGGCTCTGAAAGGACCAACAACAGCACACACACCGCCCACACACACATATTTGTATGCACTCACGTGTTGCTGCAGTGAAGGCACCCCGCACACACAACCGTCGACGCGTGACCGGATCCAGCGGAAGGAGGAGGGAAGGAAGAGAGTGTGAGCCGCAGAGGCCCAACATGTCCCGGCGTGTGTTTACTTCCGCGGTGCTGCATCTCCTCCTCGTCGTGATGGTGTGCTGCGGCAGTGGAGGGGCTGCGGGAGTTGCGGGGCAGTCAGATGATCCCCAGTTTGAATGGAAAGGCATCACTGAGGGTGAAACTGTGGAGTCGTTGGGTGCTCCCAGCCTTCTAAAAGTGGGGAATGACGTATTTGCCGTTGCCGAGGCGCAGTGCAAGAAGGCTGAAAAAGTCTTTACTGGCGTTGCATCTCAACCTCTCACGACAAAAACTGCAAACACACCGGAGGAATTGTTTAGTGATGCCTTAAAGACGACACAAGTACTGGAGAAAGGCACATCCGAGGAACAAAAGAAGAAGGTAGATGTGAGCCGACCAACAACAGTTTTGAAGGGGAATGATATTTACATGCTTGTTGGACAGTACAGCTCTGCAGCTGTTGGTGCGTCTGACGCGGCTCAATTGGGACTTTTGCTGGTGAAAGGGAGCGTCAGTGGTGAGGATGCAAATAGCAAAAAAATTGACTGGAAAGATCCTGAAAGTTCCCCGCAAGGACTTTTTGGCACACAGCCCGATTCCTGGACAAGGCTGATTGGAAGCGGTGGATCTGGTGTTAAGATGAAGGATGAGACTCTTGTATTTCCTGTGGAAGGCACGAAGAAGGCGGCGGATGGCACTGAAGTGGATGTGAAGACTGTCTCACTGATCATATACTCGAAGGATAATACGAATTGGAAGCTGTCGAAGGGGATGTCTGACGGTGGCTGCAGCGATCCCTCCGTCGTGGAGTGGGAGGAGGGAAAACTCATCATGATGGCTGCGTGTGATGGTGGCCGCCGCAGGGTGTACGAGTCCGGTGACAAGGGGGAGTCGTGGACGGAGGCACTCGGGACACTCTCGCGTGTGTGGGGAAACAACAAAAAGGGCGGAAAAGAGAAGGCTGTTAGAAGCGGGTTCATCACAGCGACTGTTGGAAATGATGGTGATAAGAGGAATGTGATGCTCGTTACCCTGCCGGTGTATGCTGAGAAAGGAGGTAAAGAAAAGGGCAAACTTCATCTTTGGCTGACGGACAATACGCACATTGTTGATATTGGGCCGGTATCCGATGATGATGACGCTGCCGCCAGCTCCCTGTTGTACAACAGTGGTGAAAACACTGATGAGAAGAAGGAGTTGATTGCACTGTACGAGAAGAAGAAGGATGTGAAACCATCACCCGGTATGGTCTCTGTGCTTCTGACTGAGCAGCTGCAGCGTGTGAAGGATGTGCTGACGACCTGGAAGGAGGTGGACGGACGTGTCTCCCAGCTGTGCACCTCATTAATTGCTGAGAAGGATCGCTCAACTGACGATGCCTGCAGCCCTACTGTTAAGATCACGGCTGGGCTGGTTGGCTTTTTGTCGGGCAACTTCTCTGAGAAAATGTGGAGGGACGAGTACCTCGGCGTGAACGCCACAGTAAATAATAAAGCTGGGGCAGCAGCGTCAGCAGTGACCAGCACGGAAAAGGGTGTGACATTCCAGGGTGCGTGGGCGGAGTGGCCTGTTGGCAAGCAGGGGGAGAATCAGCTGTACCACTTTGCGAACTACAACTTCACTCTTGTGGCGACGGTGTCCATTGAAAAAATGCCGGAGGGAAACACCCCCATTCCGTTGATGGGTGTGCGTGCGGGCAGTAATGGCGATGAAAATAATGTACTGCTGGGACTGTCGTACGACAGCGAAAAGAAGTGGCATGTACTGTGCGGTGACGGAAAAACTGAGGAGCTCAGCAGCACGTGGGAGACAGAGACACCTCAACACGTGGTAATTTTGTTGAAGAACGGCACCCAGGGCTCCGTGTACGTCGATGGTCAGCGAGTGGGTGGGAATGGAGAATGTGCATTGGGAAATGGTGAGTCGAAAGAGATCTCCCACTTCTACATTGGAGGGGATGGAGCCAATGCAGAGAACAAAGAAGACGTGTCTGTGACGGTGACGAACGTCCTGCTGTACAACCGCCCGTGGGATGACACTGAGATCGCCGCCTTCAATCCGAATAAAGCCAATATTCCATCTCCGGTGAATGCACCTTCTCAGGGAACCGCGATTCAGCCTTCTGGTGTTGGACGACCGGAGGAACCGAGACAGTTGTTGGGGAGCAGCGGTGCGGACGGTGTATCCGCACCAACGGTGTCCAATGCCAGGACTTCCTCAGGAGGAGAGGGGTCTGCAACCCAGTTGGTGAAAGAAAAATCTTCCGATGGAAGTAAAAATGTGGGTGGCGCTTCCTCGCCTGGCAGTGACGCAGCGGTGGAGACAGGAGACCGAAGTACGGTGCAGGGAGATGGATCATCAGAAACTCTTGTGGGTACTCCCGCCACAGCAGATGCATATGCCCCTAACGCTGAAGCCATGGGGCACGATGGAACCGCAGTGAATCCTGGGGCGAGCGCGAGCTCAGGTGCGGATGGGGAGACGGCGGAAGGAACGGATGGGCAGGAGAAGGAGGAGATCCATGCACAGAACGGGGACGTAAAGGCTGCAGCCCTCAGCAGCAGTCTCGGGAATGTGTCGCAGGGGAATAACACCGATGCCTGCAGTGTGTGCGGGAGCGGACTGCTGCCACTTCTGCTTCTGCTGTTGGGACTGTGGGGTTTGCGGCTCTGTGAGGAGTGACTGGCAGCCGCGTGGGACACTTGCGCCCTCCACTGCGCAGAATTACTTCCAAGAAATGATATTTTCTTTAAGATAATTTTCTTTTTCTTTTGCTGTTCGTAATTTATAATTTTTCCTTTTTTTTAAAAATCTTTTTATTATTTTTCACTTCCCCATCCCATCTTTTTTGCTTTTGGGGCAATCACTATGGACGTCTTTTCTTTTCTACTCTTTCCTCTTTTCAATTGTTTTTTGCTGCGCTCTTCCTGTGAGGGGTGCCGTGTGTTTCCCGCCCAACCGCTCCACTCGCACACCCACCGACACGCTCATGACGACGGCCCTGTGCGCCTCGCCTGCTGCACGCATGAGGAGGGGCCGCGACGTGTGGGCGTGCGACGAGGGCCTGTGGGGCGGAGCACACATTTCTTTCCCTCTTGTTTTGTTTTTTTGCGGCCAGGGCGGGCAGACACCCGCAGCGCCACACACACACAGCCACACCCTGCCGCCGTGTTTTTCTTGCTTTGTTTTTTGTGTGCCGCCACCGTGCGTGATTGTTGAGGTCGTGGACGTACCAAATGTATCGCTTCCATCCAGCTGTGCCTATTGCTGTGTTGATTTGCCTCCCTGTGCTCTTCTTCTTTTTAGCTCCTCCCACAGCACACGTGCACAGTCACATAATTATTTGCACAGCGCTCTGCAGGAGTGCTTTGGCGATGGAGGTACGTTGGCTTGCGTTTCTTGCTGACATGTAGAGGCCGCTGCGTGTGTGTGACTGCCGTTGGAATCACGGCGCCATCGGATGGGTGCGTGTGGACGCCTTCTTTGCATTCCGCTGGGTGCTGGCTGACGCGGCTGCACGATGCCCGCCATGCGTGAGGGTGTTGCCTGCTCTTGTGGTCCTTTTTCTCACCCCTCTGTTTTTGCACTGCCGGATGCGGGTGTCGCATGGTGTGTCCTGGCGCATGACGGACGGTGCTACGATGGCCTCCTCTGGCAATGACAGTCGCTGTGCGTTGTCGGCACACATCCACACACTCTTCCCTGTTTCTCTGTGGGAGTGATTGCAACAGGAGCGTGGTCTACGGCAGTGGCAGCTGCTGCTCTGGAGGAGGACGGGGTGCCGAAGGAGGAATAAGAGGACGAACCCGCTGGATGAGCTGCCACTGATCCCGTTCTTGCTGGAAGCGTTAAACCGCGAGTACAGTAAGACGGACACTCGGACGGTTGCTGCTCCGCATTTCTTCCAGCACTGCGGTGCCGCCGGCCACACGTCTTTTTGGTGCCACAAGCAGAAGGACAAGAAGCTGCAGTGCATGACGGCCAACCTGATCGGCATTTGGTTGCAGCGCATGGAGCACGTGCGCCAGTACGCGTTGGGCGTTGCGCTCGTGATTGTGGAGGATAGGCGGCACGACATTGTGGCGCTGTGTGTGTTGCGCGGCCGGGGCATGCCGGCGATTGTGGAGGACACGGAGCTGTTTGACTGAGAGGAGGTGGCGTACGTTGCGGCGCAGCGGGGGCGCATGACGGACTGCCTGTGGTGGAGGGGCGCGTGTTGAAGCGAGCGTGGCGCGCCTGTGAGGGCCTGAGGAGAGGGAATAACAGTAATGGTGACTTTGGGAGCGTGAGGAACGGGGCAAGAGCGGGGAGCGCTCCTCTTTTGTTTTGATTGTTGTTGAGCGGCGTCCACCTAATTGTTGTTGTTGTGGTGCGTGACTCTCGTCGCTGGATAGGACGGTGCGTGGTTGTGTGAATTGTCTCCTTTTTTGCTTTCACTTTGCGTTGACGGGGAGTTGGTTTGTGCTGAAGGCTGCAGGCAAGTGACAGGAGTGATGATGGCGATGATGATGACTGGCCGTGTACTGCTGGTGTGTGCTCTCTGCGTGCTGTGGCGCGGTGTTAGTGTGGTGGCGGCCGATGCTGATGATTGCGTGCGTCGGGGGATGGACGGTGTGCGTGCGTTTGGGGATGGCCATCGTGTCTGGAGACGTCAGCGTTCTGCGGTGGTTGCTGGTGATGATACCACCGATGATGACAGCACCCGCGGATCCTCCTCCGAAGTACAGACAGAGACTGAAACTGGTTCGTTGGACGGACGACCACCGAAACCATCGGTGAAGTCAATTCCGGGAGAAGTACCAGATGGACAGGACTCAGGAAAAATTTCAGAGGCTTCTGTGCCGACGATAAACGGAACTGGAGAGAATTTAGATGGTGACGAAGAGGAAGGGGACGTGAGTCAAGATGAAAGCCAAGAAGACAGGGATGGTGAGGACGAGGCTGTTGACGCTGCAGTGGGAAATGGAGACCGAGAAACTTCACATACAGAACACGAAGAAGAGAAGGAAAGAGTGAAGGAGGAAAAAGCAGGAAGCACGACAAACGAACGAGAAGGGGACGAAAACAACGCTGCCGGCCGTAGACCTCCTCAAGGAAGCGCAGCTTCTCGGCCTGCTTTGCCCGTTGACGTCAGTAGTCCTCAAAATCCCGTGTTGGGCCAGGACGGCGCTGGAGGAGAAAAAGCGGGTGCCGGTCCAGTGGTGCTGCCACAAGCAGCAGGATTACGAGAGGCGGAGAGGGCACCAGCGAAATTAACTCCCGGAGGAGGTGCAGCCGGAAAAGAAACAGAGAAGCAAAACGGAACGGCGGAGCAGGTGGCTGCAAAGGAAGTGCAAACAGCCGTCGAAGATAGTTCAGCAGAAGCAGCCGCAGCGGGAAAAGATTACAAGGGAGAAAAGGAAGAAGAAAACGTAAGCGAGGCTGCAAAGGAAGAGTCACACGGAAATGTTGACGAAGAAGCAGCGGGAAAGAACGGAGGAAATGCGACAAAGAAACTACAAAAAGAACCCACGGACGACGAAGCAAAGACAAAAAAACGAAACGAGCAGAAGGAGGCGGAAAATGCAAATAATACCAAAGAAGAACCCGACGAAGAAGAAGTCAAAAAAACCGCTCAAGAAGAAGCAGCAGACAAAGAAAAAATGGGCGCAGCCCGAATCCCTACCAAAATTAATACGACGACACCTGAAAACAGTGACGGCAGCACCTCTGTCTCCCACACCACCTCCCCTCTTTTGCTTCTTCTTGTTGTTGTGTGTGCGGCTGCGGCTGCGGTGGTGGCCGCGTGAGAGTGAGTGAGAGAGAGCCATGCACCGCCCGCACACACACTCGTCCTTCACTCACTCTCTGTGTGTGTCCCCTTGCATGGACTCTCGCCCTCACCTCATCCCGCGAAGCACACACATAATGTGCCCATTGTATATTGCATGCACACCCATGCAGACCCGTTGGTGCTCTCTTTTGCACGACACGCACCGCTGCCGTCCTGCCTGGCTGCATGGGCGGAGCACCGTAACTGTTTCTGTTTTTTTTTTATTGCATTGAGTGGGTGACCTCTCACTCTCTCTCCCTGTGTGTTTGTGTTTTGCTTTACGGGAGCAATGAGAGAGAGTGTGCGCTGGTCGTCCCACGCTTCGGCCTTTTGTTTTGTTTTTCATTGTTTTGTGGTTGAGCGCACCCATTCCGCGGGCTGCGTGTGTGTGTGATGATATGAGTGATTTGCGTGTGTGTGTGTGTGTGTGATGATATGAGTAATCTGTGTGTGTGCTATCCGCTTCTCCCTATCTTTGCTTTGTTTGGACTATCTTGTGCTGCACAGCTGCTCTGCAAGTATACACGCTGCCAAACACACGAGCAGATGCACACGCTATGTTGCGCACGCTGTGGGGCGGCGTGAACGCAGAGGACGCACGCACGTACACGATTGTTGCTGCGGCTGCCCTTGCGAGGAGGGATGACGGATGACCGCGAATTGTTTTGTTGCCGTGCTGCGAGCGTGATTTCCTAGGAGTGCTGCCCATGGGCGGCGTGGCGTTTTGGTGTCTGGGATTATTGCGGATAAGCTTCAGCCCAGCAGCTGCACCGTCCGACGTGTTCCTCCCGCTGTTCGTACGCCGACGGAGGATTCTCCGGCTGTGCGGGGCGATGTGCGGGTGCGTTGGAAGAGACAAGAGTAAAACGACTGGCGGCAGCGCGTGTCTGCTGTGAAGGGCGGCTGTGGTTTTTTTATCCTGCTGGTTTTTCTTTTTGTGAGGGCGTTGTTCAGTGTGTGCTGACGCGTGACGAATAACGACGTGCCAGGCGTGGCTCCTGCTGCTGCTGGTGATGATGGTTTTTGATGTTCCCGCTGCATTGTTCTCCCTTCTCGTTTCATGTGTCTGCGTGCGTGAGTTGTTGTTGAGAGTGACTGCGGCGGGGATGACGATGATGATGCCACTCACTGTGGATGGGTGACGGTGTTCACTGTTTCACTCCTTTTTCTTAACTTCTCTCCTTTACTCACACACAAAGGAAAGAAGTTAATAACAAGCGCTAATCGCTACTGTGAAATTCGAAGGCTCTGAAAGGACCAAAAACCGCCCACACACACATATTTGTATGCACTCACGTGTTGCTGCAGTGATGGCACCCCGCACACACAACCGTCGACGCGTGACCGGATCCAGCGGAAGGAGGAGGGAAGGAAGAGAGAGTGAGCCGCAGAGGCCCAACATGTCCCGGCATCTCTTCTACTCTGCGATGCTGCTCCTCCTTTTCGTGATGATGTGCTGCGGCAGTGGAGGGACTGGGGGAGTTGCGGGGCAGTCAGATGATCCCCAGTTTGAATGGAAAGGCATCACTGAAGGTAGAGGTGAAACTGTGGAGTCGTTGGGTGCTGCCAGCCTTCTAAAAGTGGGGAGTGACGTATTTGCCGTTGCCGAGGCGCAGTGCAAGAACGGTGATGTCAGTTTTACTGGCGTTGCATCTCAACCTCTCACGACACAAACTGCTGACACATCGGAGGAATTGTTTAGTGATGCCTTAAAGAAGACACAAGTACTGGAGGAAGGTGCTTCCGAAGGCCAAAAGAAGAAAGTAGATGTGAGCCGACCAACAACTGCTGTGAAGCGGAATGATATTTACATGCTTGCTGGAGTCTACAGCAGTAAAGTTGCCACTCCTGGACAGGTTGGTGCGTCTGA